TTGACTTACCTAATTAAACAAATTTTGTTAAAATTAAAACTAGAAANTTAGGAGTATTAAGTACTGGGGTTGGATGTCACGCCAACAGTTATCTCAATCAAAACTTCTTCCAAAACTTCAGACTATGAGGCGTTAAATATAATTTAAAATATTTTATTTTATTCTTGCGAGCGCTTTCGACGTAAATATGCACGTCGTCTTCAGGCAATTCAAAATCGAATAGAGAATTTGAACCATACATTTAAATTTAAACATTAATGATATTAGCCGTTTTTGAATATAACTATGTTAAATATAATTAAAATATTTTATTCTTGCGAGCGCTTTCGACGTAAATATGCACGTCGTTTTCAGGCAATTCAAAAACGAATAGAGAATTTGAACCATACATTTAAATTTAAACATTAACGATATTAGCCGTTTAAATTTAAATGTATGGTTCGAATTCTCTATTCGTTTTTGAATTGCCTGAAGACGACGTGCATATTTACGTCAAAAGCGCTTGCAAGAATAAAATATTTTAATTATATTTAACGCCTCATAGTGTGAAGTTTTGGAAGAAGTTTTAATTGAGATAACTGTTGGCGTGACATCCAACCCCAGTACTTAATATTCCTGGATGTGTTTTTAAGGGAAACCGTCCCAATCTAGGTGTTACAGATGTGGAGAAAACCCGGAAAACTCCACGTGGCCAGCCCGCCCGAGCGAGGAGCAAACCCATGACCAAACTCCCAGTGTTCAGGGAACACAGAGCTTGGCCACTGGTGGGCTCCAGCTTGTTAAATTTTTCAATAACTTCACACTGACTTTGGATCCCTATCATCAAAATTTATTCCTCCTTAATGCCATGTAAAATCTGTATCATCTGTAAAAGAATAAATAAAACTCATAATTCCTATGGTTCCAGATTTATGGAACATTCTGTATACAATTCTCAAAATAGATTACTACAATATTTAGCTTAAAGGCTGACATATAATATATACTGACTCCATGTTTAGAATCACATGCAGTTTGTTCTGAATCATGTTCCATTTTGTACAGCAAATCTGTTAAAAATAGAATGACAGATTTTTGAAAGAAATGGTCTGAAAATAAAACTAGGAAGCTTTGAAACTGTTCACCTGTAATTATTAAATGACTCCTATAAAATGAATTAAAGTGTTACAATCACTATGCATCCTAGCTGAAGAAGAAAACAGCTGAGCAACATTTAATCCCCATTTAATGAGATCAATAAATTGAAAATAATGTTATTTCAAAGATAAAATAAATGATGGAACACACAGATGGATATTTTTTATTTAGAACATAATAACACAAAAATCTTCTAATCTGAATACCGATATTCTGATAAAATCACACTTACTAAACCTTTATTATCCGGTACTTGTAAACTATTCGTAAAAACAAACGTTTTCGGCCTCAGACGAGGTCTTCTTCAGGTTAATATAATTGGATTCCATTCTTAGAATGAACGTTTAGTTTTAAAATATAATCAAATTCATGCGCGAGTTACGTATCGTCATCGTTTTGTTGTTCTTCGCATACGTAACGCCAAGCATAAGAAAGCTTATTTTATTATTTTAGCCTGAAGAAGACCTCGTCTGAGGCCGAAAACATTTGTTTTTACGAATAGTTTACAAGTACAGGATAATAAAGGTTTAGTAAGTGCAACATAATAATACATTGATTGAAATGAGAGCAAACATATGGAGAAATTTTGGCGCCAAATCCATCTCTTAATGAAATGTGTGAACTGACCCAGTCCTCTTACTTCCGTTTAATAAATACCTGTCTGTACGTGCTGGTGAGGAATTCTATGTTTAAATTTTGTACATGAAAATATCTGTCTGCATGTTCTGGTCCCAAGATCATTCAATCAACTTTGTTATTAATTCATGTGTCTGCAATAGTGGATCTAAAGGAAAAGCACAAGTATATTTGTTTGCTCTACCCATTTTCAATCTGTACTTATCTGCCTGCTTGCACAGAAAGATTACTTTTAGATAAAAACTTAATAAATAAACAATTACCATATTTTCCTGCCCATAATTTACACATTGTGTATTAAAAACTTTTGACTTTAATAGTATAGATTATAGACTACTGCAGATAATGTGATAATTTTTCCACATCAAGTTTTCTTAACATGACAAGATGTGAAGTCTGCTGGGAGGACAAAAGATGTCGACAGACCCATTTACTTCTATTTAGGAATGGAATATAGCCAGCCATATTGGCCAAATTGTAGCTTGTGAGACACATACCACTCTTCTAGACTCTTGTTACATCTCTCAGATATAATTACTTTTTATAAAGTCTGTCCATACTACTTGCACATATTAACATTATTTTCCTGCTGTTATTTTTTGTTGTTATATAACAGAAAGAAAGTATCGCATTTGGTCAGAAAATAGCCCCCAAGATTTTTATATTTTTGGACTCCAGAATGTCAAGAAATGCAAAAAAAAAGCGGAGGATTTTTTTTTCTGTGTATTGATGTTAGTGTGCATGTGTGGGTACAATTTTTTTTTACCCACTTTGAAGCTTAATAACTCCAGTGCCTTTTTTTTGTTGAAAATTTCTGAAATTTTGCTGGGAATTTTCATATTTGGAGAAAGGTTTCTAGAAATTTCCAGTAAAATTGGACTATTGGTTTATTGACGACATCTCCCAAACCAATATGAAGACTTATAGAAGTAATAATAACAATGAAAACAAAATATTCCAGGAAAGTCCAGCAACAATGTTGCCAGCTTTGTTCTAAGTTTTTTGACTATTACATAGTGATTGTAAGTGTAACTTGGTATTGTAAGAGCTTAAGGGAGTAAGTGTAACTTGCAACTCAGCCTCAAACAGTCAACCGAAAGCTTAGGATTGAAGGAATTAAATGAATGTTTATCTAGTCATTTGTAAAGCACCATTAAAGTAATAGTAATAACTATATTAATATAAACAGATGATTCATCTCTCCAATAGGCATAGAGGATGTGACACACACGTATTTCTGGTAAGCGGTGTATGATTCCTATCATGACAAGATTTGGCCACCCCTTGTAACCTTTGTGATTTAATTTTTATTTATTTGATTTAAAACATCATTATAAATTTAAGATCAGGACGATAATTCCAGACCAAAAACATCATTATAAATTTAAGATCAGGACGATAATTCCAGACCAAGAAACTCTGCGTAAAATTAGTCTCATTTTCATTATTTGATGCAAATAGTATAAATCCGAGTTGCATTTAAGTGCACTATGACTTATTGTGTGCATTTATTATACATCATCATATTACATTTTACATTATTATACTGTTATTAGCGAGTACAACTGATTATTTGAACTCAAAAATAAATTTTTATCATTGAAAACTTGTCCCTAGTGGATTATACATTGCTATAGATTATGGGGAGGAAATTATGGAGCTAATTATTTATCTAAGTTTTATTCCAACATAATATAGTGTATTATTTTATTTGTAGACAATTTCATTTTTACTGTTTTTTTCGATACAATAAAGTTTATTAGTTTATTTCTTTGTGAGAACAGTAAACGTGGAATTGCTTTTCAACTTTTGAATGTATTGATGCTAGTGCTCTGTGTAATAAAAAAGTACATGAGTGGTAATAAACATAACAACAAGTTATATAATTCAAACACAAAACATTTTTGCTTGTTCTTGGTGTCTTTGTGGATTTATTTACTACTACATAAAGCCAATATACTAGAATTGGACAGATTCAAACTCGAATCCCTCGTGTCAGTATGCTAAGACTTTAATAAGAATGCGCTAGCCATTATATTTACTGGCTGAATTAATCAATGCACCTTTAATAGCAGTGACATTTAAAAAACACTAAGGTGTTTAATCTAGCTAATGGGCCATCCTCCGGTATACACAGTTAAAAACAGAATTTCATTTCCAACCGTCAACTTTCAACTAAATCGAAAACATTAGTGTTCTTTCACCCAATGTTAGAAGCATCGATTAACTCAGCCAAGACTTTATGGTAAAATTGCAGTTCCAAACGAGGGGTTTGAACCCAAAATATTACTCCCTAGAATGAGGGTGGCAAATCCGTCGCACGTAACGTATAATACAATTTTAATTTATCACCTGACTACCGTTTTATCAGCCAGCTTTATTGCATTTATTTTAAATTAAAGCAAATTCTTTTAATTTCTTTAAATATCTTTATTCAGAGTCTAAAACTTTGGCAGGCAGAAACATCTTTAAAGCTAAGTACGCATACGTAGGCACACGAGCTCAAAAAGGTTTGCCATCCCAGCCCTAGACAACCAGAAAAGTCAGATCCGCATCTCTAATTACGACCCTTGAGATATTTGCCTCAACCGGGCCGTTCGTTAAACACACAAGACTTAACGGAGTACTTAGACGACTCCAATCGCATCCCATCAGTGGTCGGTGCGACAGCGTTTCTCGGTGTTTTACAAGCTTTATAGCAAGCTTAGCCACTCTAGTAAAGTGAATAATTGTTGATTGTTGTAGGTCTTTGAAATTCCAGAAAAGAGCGATATCAAGGGTCATATCTTGTAAAGGGTCACACATAGACCGCTGGTTCTTTTGACTTTTTTGCTCCTATGGGCACAGTCTATACTTCTTATAAGGTCCCAACTGCCTCATCTATATGAGGCCTTGGGACCCTATAACAATAGTCTACATGATCACGTGACTAACTTGATCACGTGCTCGTGTAGAACGTTATTTTTCAGTTTCATTTCTGCAGTTGATTTCAAATTTTTGTTAAATAATACAACTGAATGACATATAATAATAAATAAGTGCACATTTAAATAAATAATAAAAACAGAGAATGAAGCAAAGAATAAAATCATAAATTTAGATTATTAATTTCTCGAAAAATTCGCGATTAAATATAACGAAAAAACGAGAAAACACGTGGTTTTACAGGAACGTTACTTATACGACTCGAAATTATAATTATTAAAATATTTAAATAATTGACTTACCTAATTAAACAAATTTTGTTAAAATTAAAACTAGAAATTTACATCAATTCAGTTTTGTTTTAAACGGATTTAGTTAAGCCCCGCAGCAGAAGTTTCGCTTAACGTTTGGGCTACTTCTGTCATACAGACGGAGAGAATTTGGCAGAATATTACTATTACCCCCTCTAGCGGTGTTAAATGTTTTTCATTAAAAAAAAAAATATATATATATATAATAATAAATTTTCGTTGGTAGAAACATTTTATATAATTTAAAAAATTTAAATATTTTCCTACCCTGTGGGCACCAATTTAACAAGCCCATAACGACCAGGTGTTAGTATCGGGACGAATCGCCCATTCCCGTGGTTTTTCGATTGCCGGGATTCAATCCCGGGTCCCCCAGAGCGCTAGTCTGACAGCTTAAATCAACTGAGTGTCAATTAAATACTTTTATTTTGTTGAACGTCAACAGAAATTCGAATGATAATACACCAATATATTATTTTCTCCCCCATTTTTCGGTCAATTAAATTAATTTAGCGGCAAATTTATATAACTCGATTGATAGCGATGGCGTTTGCGGCCATGTCACCAAATTACTCCGTTTTAATTATAATGGCTTAAATTTGCAAATTTAAGCTTCTTACGAATGTATAGAAAAATATATAATGCATTATTTGAAATAATACAAACGAATAATTAAGGGACTGACTGATTTATGTCCTCTTTTGTCACCTACTCCGTACTCCATTAATTATACATACGAATATATAAAATGAAAAGTACGTATGTATAAAATATAAGACAATGTTTTCTCGACTAGAAAAGATAAAATAATAGCATATTTTTTATTTTTTACTCTTCCTGCTGTGGGCACTAGCCTTTTCAATCATAAGGAACCATGTCCACAGTGGGATGGGCCTGATCATCAATGAAAAATTCCTGGGGTTGCTCGTCTAGATTTGATCCCAGGTTCCTCAGAGTAGGCTACGGCTTAACTTCCTCAAATATTTTAAAGTTGTTCTGCCTTTTTTTTTATTTTTAACTCTTTCCACCCTGTGGGCACTAAGAGAACCTCTTTTTGCAAGCCCATTATGGGTACGGCCAGGCCCACAATGGAGCGACCAGTTGGTGAGGGACGGGGCCCGACATATCTGGACAAACCACTCCCCGAAAAAATTCTGGGGTTTATTCAACCTGTCCAGATTCAATCCCAGGTCCCCGAGTGGTAGGCTGCCACCTTGACCGCTCGGCAATCCGGCCTTGTTGTTCTGCCCTGTGGGCATTGAGAGCCTTGCAAGCCTAAAAAGTCTAGTCCACGGCGGAGCGGTTGGGTGGTGGAGGACAAGGCCTGATATACCCAATAGAAGTTTCCTGGGTTGCTCGTCCGGATTCAATCTTGGTTTCTCCAGTGGTTAAGGCTGCCACTTAAATACTCGGCCACTGTCTGTCAGTATTTACAGATCAGAAATTATTACTCTGGTGCCAAGTTTTTAGCAATATGCCGTCATCCAATACTTCTGTTAAGTGTATGGTACAATAATTTAGTTATATTTAGCTCAGAAATATCGGTTTTTAAATATCACACTTATCTTCAGCCATCATTTTATTCATTTATTTGTGTTTTGAAATTTATACAGTACTCCGACACTCTTCTCGTCAAACATTGTTAGATTGATGCCGTTGTCTCTCCCTTGTATAACAGAAAGCAGACATTAAGAAACAGAATTTTGAACAAAAACAGAGGCAAAATGAAATGAATAGGTTGTATGTTAGAAAAAACTTCCTGCTCAATATGTCTAGATAATTAGTAGTGTTGCTATTGTGATTTTGAGAACCGGATTTTTAGATTTCTCTAAAATATGTAATAATTAATATCTAATTATTATTATTATTTTTTTTAACTGTTTCTGCTCTACGGGCACTAAGAGGGCCTGTTATGGGTTTGGCCAGGCAGTGAAGGATGAGGCCAGACCTATCTGGACGGACATCCCGAAAAATATATGGAATATTTTAGACTAGTTCGGATTTGATTCAAGTTCCACGGAGCAGGCAGCTGTGTCTTGTAACGGATATTCAGGATGGGAGCTTCTCTCGCTTTTAGAAAAGCTGAATTACACAAAAGACATCTGCACATCTGTCTTGTTTATATTTGAGCACTATTGCACCTGGTGCACACTAAGCCATTTTTGTTTACAATCCTAAAACTACTGCCTGTTACGAATGACTCCATATTGAGTTGATTTAGATCACCCCGATGAGCGCTAACTTTCATTTCAATTCAGTTAGTGCACTCTAGGATACACTAGTGCTCTAACCTGAATCGATATAATTAATTTTAGTTTTGCTGTTTGCAAACATACAATGGGAAGGGTTAGACGAGCGAGACAGAGAAAACAACGCTTACGACTAAACTGTCCGCAAGAAATCTGAGTGTCCGGATTACATTTCCGTGTACTCGTACAATAAACATGCTTAGAATTCTGATTTATTTCCCAACAAAATTTGGCTCCGCAGAAAACCAACTCATACACAGTATAACAAAATTATTTTTTTTTTTACAAAGTTCTTATTACTATTTATTAATAATTAGTGCACAAAAAAAAATTTAAATCATCACTTTCCATGTTAATGTAATAATTCAATGTCTAATTTTAAATCTATAATTTGTACTCTTTAAAACACTCTTAAACAATACGAAAATTTTCTATTTATTCACTGACAATTTCAACAGACAACACAAAAAATGCCGAAAAAAGCATCACTTTCGTGATAATGACAAAGTGTTACATATCTACAACAAGATTAAAAATATTGTTCTGATAATATATATATATTTTTTTGTTATATTGGAGCATGTATTGATATGTGCAAGTCATAGATAAAAATTATAACATTAAAATATCTTTTTTTTTTCTTTTTTGAATGAAAATCTTCATTATACCTGCTATCCAGATTACACGATACACTATAATCTTCATTATGATTTTACAAATTTATGTATTTTGACTATGAGATAATTATAATGCAAAATGAAAGTTATCAAAAATATTTACAAACTTTTAGACACGATTCGAATAATCTAATCGTAGAAATCGTGCTTACGCATTCATTATGTTCATGTACTTATACATATACAAATGAAAGTAGAAATTGTGAGAATTAGCACAGTGAGTTTGTAACTCTGCAAAACAGAACCGACGATGCCAAAAGCTGGCGCAGCCGCTGCACGGTATCGTCAAACTCCTCACGCTACTTCTTGTAAGTTCCGTTTTCATTTGATCATCCTGTATATTTACATAACTAATGAAGGAAAACGGCAGGGTAAATTTTAACAGAGGCGATGTTCTGTCAATCTTACAAAAGTGCTTAAGCAAATACTAAATTTGCAGACTTTACTTTAGGAAAACTTTGGAATAAATATCAAAAAAATGAAATTCTGCATATTTATTCCATATAAAATAAATATAACAATTCAAATTATTTTGCAATTAAAATGTATTAAAAAAGAATTTTTTAAGAAAATATCGAAATTAACTCAGAGTGACTGAAGAACATGAAATAGTTAAAACTGCAAGGCTGTTTCATTATTTCTTTTTTCTTTCTGCAGAACATTTTGGACAGTACCATTTTCCTTTCGGTTTGCTGGTTAATCCGACACATGCAAAATGAAACCATTCAATTGGGCACTAAAAAATTTAAATTTTATTATTATTTATTTAATTTAAAAACTTATAAAGGTTTTATAAAGACCATTACACTTACATCTGGATTATCACAGCCTATCATCTCTCCGTATGACACTTGATGGCACAGACAATATGTTGGTTCATTTGGATCGACTGGCATATCAAGAACGTCTGAAGGATGCGTAATGCTTAGAGATGGCAAAGGAGAAATATCTTGCCTGTAAAATAAAGATATTATGGTATAAAATTTATATCTGCATGTAATTAATGTAGTTTATATATGAAATAGATTGTATATACAAAGCTATATTGGCCTCCCTCACAGATATGAAATACTTGAATAAAGTGGACTTCTTAAAGATAAACAAAACAGTACAGTTAAAAGAAAATACTAAATATATTACCAGAAATCTGAAGTCTTGGAAAAGTAAAATACACCGGTGACTCAATATTATGTGTTTCAACAAAACATAAACCTGCATACAATGCAGACAACTTGTGAGTCTCAATTTATCATCAAACCACTTCAGATCCTGCTACTTTTACTTGTCTTATTGTATACTGTTGGGTAAAACTGGCAGTTAACAGCACAGTTCAAAATTGGCTCAACTTGTAACATTTTGCTGGCTATTTCTATACTCTGTACTTACCAGCTGTCACCGTGTAAACATAGCTTAACCCTCGGCTGTCTCGATATGGAAAAAGTCAGAACAAGATGTATAACAAGTGTTTGAGTAGAGTGAACAGGAAGTTGATAAATAGCAATTACCCGTGACACAGTTGGCAAGAAGTGTTCTATCTTATAATGCAATCAAGTTATTTTGATAAGTAAATACATTTTTATATAATTAGTTTTATTTCTGTAAAATTTTTTTTCTAAAGCAGCAGCTATCATAGAAATTATTAAAAAAGGAAGTATATTCATAAATATTAGTTCAATATTTTTTCAGTAAAGTGAACATAAAATGCATCTAAATATAGTTTTTTGAAGCATAAACATAAAATGTTTGAATATAAACATGATAATCTCTTTCGCTCTTGTTTTTTTAATAACTTCTACATTATTAATTTTAATAAATAAAATTGTATGTGATGCTGTCTGTTATGAGAAATTGTTATAAAAATCTTTTTATATTATTAATTATTATTATAAATTTTGATAGTAGTGACAAGTTTTATGAAAATTTTAAATGCTAATAACGAGTAAAACTTTCATTAAGTCAGGCCCCTCTCGAGACAAGAAATGTAACATACCCGTATCTTCCCACCCTCTTGGATCTTTAACAACCAAAATTTAATAGCATCAATGCTCCTTATATACAAGCTATTATGCCAATTTTATTTCTTAATCTTTATCCCATCTTGAGACATTAAATAAAATAGATGCCAACATACACACATACACAGTCTCAAAACATGGAGATTTGCAAAGAATTTGGAATGTCAAATTTGACACAATTCCAATACTTTTCCTTGTTACCTATACACAACAGTCAGGAAATAAAATGCATAGAGCATTGAAGTAGATAAATGAGAAGCTTGACAGTTATAACTTAATTTAGAATGTTTTTTATTATCTTCAAAAGGACGAATAACGAAAATCAAATTATAAGATGATTGAAAGCTTTTATTTCACTTACTGTATGGGTTGAACTTTGAACTTCTTTCTCGCCGACTTAGGAACGTCGTCGTCATCCGAAGCTCCCCTTCCGCGGCCTTTCTTCTTATCATTTTTATCTGCAGCTTTTCGTCCTTTCTCTAAATTACAAATAAAACATTTAAATTACATCATTTTCTCACAGAGCTTGTAAATATTACCTCAAAATTTATAAAATCTTACTTCTATGAGAGCTGTCCGAATCGGAATGAATACCGAGAGCCTTGTCTTTAAGTTCGGCTTCGAATCGAGCTAAATCAGCATCGAGTCTTCTTATGTGTTTATCTACCTAAAAGTCAAAAAAATCTTAATACAGTAAAACCCAAATAAGAACTTAATCAATAATAATCAAGTGTGAATATTTATACCATTTCATATGTTTGCATTGCTAACTGGACTTTATCATCTCCATAATCTTGTGCTTTCTTGAATTTTTTTTGAATCTTTTCCATATTTTCTGCTCTCTGTTCTGAAGTCATGTTTCTAACATTTTTAAGATATTCACTGGCAAGACGATCGATTGTCTTTAGCTCTTCTAATTTCAAATACACAAATGTTAATTGTTATTAATGTATAAAATGAAATTACAAATTGAATAAAAAAACAAAACACTCACAAAATCAAAACTCTGGCAAGAAAATGAAGAATTTAATAGTAAACAAATGTTTTCAATTGCTTTGCGCGACTGTCTTCAGGTTAATGTTCTTTTTAACCTGAAGATTATTGTGCAAAGCAATTCAAAACCTATTAAATTTTCTGTTTTCTTGATGGATTTTTAATTCTACAACTGATTTTTATTGGAATTTGTTATCCAGGATATTGTGTTTAATATTTACAAATTAAAATATATAAAGTTAATAAGTTAAATACATAAAGTACTGATATTTTTATCATTAATACTAAATTTGTACTTGTTAATGATAAAAATACCAGTGACATCGAAAAGTTATAAATATTTTTCTTTCTGACATCCTTCTTCAAAGTATTGTCCTTGAGTATCTCTAGAAACATTTTTCTCCACTTGTTGCAGGGTAACTGTTGCAACCCTTTATGTTCCTGCCCTTCACAGAAGTGATTATGCCGGTTGTAAACTCCAGTTTTTTTTGTCACCATATGCCTCATTGAACACGTTTAATATTTCTGCCAATATCTTGTTTGGTAAAACACAAAATCTGATGTTAGTGGCTGTTCCCGAAGTGACATTCTGCTGCTAATATCCACTTTTGAAAGCAATAACGAATCCTCTGCAAATTTCTCTGCCGCCTATCACAGATATATGTCCAATAATACCTTCCAAAGAGTGCTGCTACATGCTGCAAAAGTTATTATCTATTTGGTTGATGTGTTGCATTGTCCTAAACATTTCTGGGAACTTTTTGATGATATTAGTATTAATATAAATTAATAATTTAATAAGAAACTTTTATAAGTGTAAAATTATAAACTTAGAAAACTTAAATAATTCTAAACCTGTTCATTGTGATTTGAATAAATAAAAGCTCTGTAAAATTAATAAATAATAATAAACCAAAAGGAAAAAGAAAAGAATGTAAGTGACAGGATCAACGTTGTTTATTAGATCCCTTTTACATGCAAAAATAAATGTTTACATAAGCAAAATAAGATTAAGAAAGAGAGCATATAGCTATATATGTATGTAGAATATGTATGGGTAAAACATTATGTAAATATAGGTTGTTAAGCAACAGTATTATGATTTGAGTGAGATATATGGAGGATAAAATTGTAATGTCTTAACTGAAAAAGTTTTCAGATAATAAGTTTATATTTTAAGATCATATATATTACTTTACAGGTATGTTTAAATTTAGTGAATTTAAAGAATGTTAATTGTACAGTTAAATGGCAACTTTGTTTCCAGTGCCAATTGAAGAATAATGTTTCAATTGTAAATAGGTTTTAAATAATACAAAACTTTATAACAAATGTTATGAACATTTATAATATGTCTCCCTTTTCAGATTATATCATTACAAATTTATATTTTAGGATTTTATATGTTACTTTATAGCTTTGTTTAAATTTAATGAGTTTAACAAATGTAATCCTTATGGTGTAGTGACAATGTATTTCTATTCAAAGTAATGAGGAACACTGTATTTATAATGCATTTTGGCAAATGTAAGAAACTGTTGAATAAAGGACATTTTGGTTATTAAAGAAAAGCTCTATTTTTTATTCAATATATCCAATAAAGAGTCAATCTCTCCTAGAATCTAGCTATCTAAATAAGTAGAAGCCAATACCAATGAACACATACAAAATATTTATAAGATCCTTATAAACTATTGATTAAATTATAAAAAAACAATGTCACGTTCTACATGGACATCATGAAACAAAAATTGGAGAACACAGATTAGAGATAGCTAGAAAGATTATCATTATCAGAATATGTGCTAGATAATGTTATTCAAGTTAAATAAGAGTAGCATCCATTATTATGCACAACTCTTAAAATCAGTGATTCTTTAGAGGTAATTATAGAAATCCTGAATTTCAAAGACAAAGGAGAATCAATTCTCTTGTGCACTTCCTGTTTTTCCTCTGTTGTTGGTGGCCTGCTCGTCTTTGACTTCATTCTGCTGATAACCATATCTGATTAGTCTTCCACAGGATCATCAGATTGCTGTTGGACTGCCATTCTGCTCTCGGATAGCCAACTATGGCGAATTACAGACTGAACTTTCCATTTTTTGTTTTCTGTCTTCGAGTAAAAGCTCTTGACCGGAATTGTATGAGCATAATGTATTATTCAAATAAACAGATTAAATGTAAAAGTGACCTACCTGTCTCAGTGTTGACAACAACATCCACACTAAGCTCACACCCCTTGTTGATCTTGACAAGATTTCAATTTAACATCCCCTTTCTCTCCCCCATTGGCATCTCACATATATTAATAATATATATTTTTTAATCAATTAAACATGATCTAATTTAAATAAAAATCATAAAAATAACAGGCCTTAAAAAGCCTTTCAAATGTACAAGACAAGGGTATGTTTCAATAAAATAATTTATGCCACAATGATTATATTAGACTTATCAAAGTATTTATTTAATGTATCATTTCCATTACAAGGAGAATCTGTAAAAAAGTCTGTCTAAACTGATTGTCTTTCGTATAAACAAAAGATATGCAATTACCCCATATAAAACATTGAATAAGTAGCACAAAAAATATTATAAAATTAATTGCGTATATATCGTAAATATTTTATTTTATTGTTATGATATGAAGTTAAAACTTAAAGCCAGAAATGCTAAACAGATCAAATGATACAAACAGAATGTTACCAAGCTAATTAATTATTACGATAAATTAAGTAATCTGAACTAGAGATAGGTAGTTAAGCTGCCATATCTTGTTAAATTTAATCAATCATTTAATTAAATATGAAAATTTGATAATTTTTTGGACTTTGATTGTCTCATCACTAGATTGGCAACAGATGTATGATTTTTTGTTATGTTTGTTTGTAAATTTTAATGCATTCGTTACCAATTTGATAACAAGACAAACTTAAGTCTTGTTATTGCTCTCTCTCAAAAATATTTTATCTCATTACATTTTTAGACTGCTCAAACTTTAAACATTTCATCACTTGTTATTTTCAAATTATAGACAGAGTTAACTGTGATACAAGAGCTAACAGAATATTATAAAATATACAAATCAATTTGATAAATAATATAGTGCATATGAAATAATTCTCCTTCTATTCTTAGTTCATGAAGTAATTGATACACTGTATCACCCAATCACACACAACCTTGAAAGCAACAAAAAGATTTATTCAACAGAAAAAATTTAATATTTTTGATCACTTTTAATGATCTTCATCAGTGTGACGTTCCGAAAATCGAATATTTACAAATAGTGATGAACACGGAACAAAAATAATCGAATTCCGATTGTATTTAAATATAAAAATAAAACTTTTTACAGACTGTTACATTGCTATGACGTGTGCCAAAAAGATGAAAAAATAACAACAAAATGCACATTGTAATTACATTATTTTGACCTCAAACAAGGACCTTTCTGTTGCTATTCAAGGTTGCGCGTGAGTGACCTATTTTTTTCATCGCGTAAAAAAATATAAATCATTAAATGTACCGACCTTGGGCTCTTGAATCGAGATCTCTCATTAGAGTAAAATTTCTTTGAAGTTCTGAAGGTAAAGTTTCCAAACCTACAAAATAAAAACAATTAAATAAATATTAATTTCAACATTTAGCTACGCAAATATCACATATTACCATTAAAAAAAAAAAAATCTTAATAATAGAACGAAATTATTTAATCCATACCTTTTAAGTATATAAGGACTCGATAATTAAAAAACCAAGAGTTATTAGCAAACTTCATTACAGACTGAAACAGATCCATTCTCATTTAATACAGAAAAAAATACAAAAAACAAAACACCTAATAATTTTTAGAAGCTAAAATAAAAATATATTGGATAGACGCTACTGGAATTTGCAGTCAGATTTGCCTCGAAACAAAATTCGAATAAGAGCTAAACGTTAACAGCTTTAAGTGAATTTGATAAACATTAACAGCTGTTACATAAATCGAACAGCTTTCAAATTATTAGATTTTTAAAAATTAAAAATGAATAAAAGATAAAAGTGATAAAACAATAATTATGTAGAAATTTAAATAAATAAAAAAAAGCAGAATAAAACAAATAAGTCTAGCAGATGACTCATTTGCAAGCCAATAATTTCTTGTTTTGTCAGTGTCTGCATCCAGGGATATAGAGCATTTCATTCTTTATCACACACAATAAATTTCCTTTGCTCATCAAAATAAATAAAATCAACGATTCAGAGTGGCATTAATTTTGTATATACATAAATAACTTGCTTACAGGACGAAGCACAAAATCATCCGACATTTTGTTTTATAAATAAATATCAAAGCAAGCTACGAACAAAATTTAGTGTACAAGCTACAGTAGATCATGGAAATTAGTTTCCTACTCTACCAGTGTGCGCTAGTATCACACTGTTCCTTGATATGCACCAATTAATGCGATATGACCGGCAAAGGAATATTAACTGGTAGAACAATGCCTAAATGTATACAATATCAAATATATTCATTACAAACAGATTTGACTTGTAGTGGGTGAAGGATAAGAATAATGCTCCAAATGGTATTACTTGTAAAAAATTATAAAAACTACATCAAACTTGAAACCATTTACAGAGGCAAGTTGACACTTTATTGAATGTTCATCTGGTCAAATTTATGTTTACTCTAAATTTGATTACTGAAAAATCTATTAATTGTGAAAGTATTGTTTGAAATCATATTATAAAATGGTGAAAATTAGATAAACATCACTCTAATCTTATAATCTGTTGTCATTAAAACTATTATAAATATAAATCAGGCAAATGAACTGATCTTCACAGCTATTAAAACTATGAACTAATATAAATATGAGATTGTGGTGAGAATTTCAAATTCCATATTAAAACTGCATTCAAATTCCTTACATTAATAGGATGATGACGTTAAGATGACAGTAATAGGATAACCAACAAATTAAATTTGATCTATATTAGACTATTGAAAATCTACCAATTGTGAAAGTGTAGCATAAGATCAAAGTAAAATAACATAATAGAAGCTGGTAAATATTACTTTAATCTTATAATTTTCTTAACTGGTTCAGACACCATTATTTTTAGGAATTATCACATAAATAAATCTGACTTTTAGAATTCCAGCTCCTGCCTCTAAATAATAAGTTAAAATATGCTTTGATTATATTAACCCACAATGGCATTTCATCCCTACCAAGTGAATCATCATCAACCGTTTCTATCAAAACTGAAAGCACGTATCCTTTCTCACTTCTGTTTTTTTTTTTTGTTATTACCACTATCATTATCTTCAAGTCAATTTTTTCGCTAACTTTCTGTTGATAATTTCCTTCCAACGTGGGTAACAACAGCCCCATCACTTTTGAGTAAAGTAGTCTAGCTTTAACTAAAGTTTATTTATTAATCAATAAATTATTACAAATCAATTTACAATGATCTGGCTAGGATTGCCCAAATTCAATGACAGATTTGAATATTTTGATAGTATTTTAATGGAATACTTGCCCAGATAATATATACAGTGGGTGATCAGTTAACGAACAGATCGGATAACGAACACTTTCGCGAAAGATTTTTATGTTCGGACAACGAACACATGATCGGATAATGAACACCTCACAGAACAAACACAAGAAGAAGCGATGTAAAATAATGAATACCAATTGGTCTTCCCATGTCTTCAGGAAACAATTCGAAACTTTTCGGAATGTGAGAAACGTCAACATCGACGCTCAAGCCGGTATATACCGATCGGATAGTATTCCTCCGAACTTTGAAACTCTCCCTTGTAATTCCAGCCTTTTATTTTTCTGACAAAATAATTCTTTTATGTATTCGCGAGACTGTCGGGTAGGCACTCGTTAAGTTTTGCGTCTGTTTTTCTTTTCGAAAGGTGAGAGTATAATAGCAAAGGTAGAGAGTGGG